GAATGTATGATCGTCACCATCGAGGTTCTCTTGTTCTCCGGTTAACTCATTCATAAGCAATGTCATTCGATCAGCAATGAATTGATCAGTCAGTTGTTCCGTTGCCAACGAAAGCGATTTCTGAGGTGGGGAAATAATTATGATGGGACATTCTTGTGGCAAAGCGGTGGGACATTTTGGAGGGGGATTTATGGGATATGGCTTCTGAGGTGGAATTACGGTCGCGGGCTGCGGGAATATGCGGCGTGATTTTTGTGAAGCATTCGGTTTGGTTATTTCGGTTACCTTCTCGACCAGATCTTGAATTTCATGAGGCATCAGAGTTATGGTTAAAGTTTGAGGGGTGACCTGAATGGACATGTGTCTCTTGGTTTGGGTAGATGATCTTCGAGTGTGTGATGAAGTGGAGCTTTGAACTACCGACCGAAAGGAACTTTGCGAATTTGAAGATACCCTCCGTGGCGTTAAAGGATCGGTTTGCACTCCTAGAGAGATGAAATTTTCCTTGCAATCCCGTTGCCTATTGCGGTCGCGTAAATACAAGTATATGACGACGATAATGATTATGTAAAAGAGTAGGCCAAGTAAAATTGAAAAGGTTAAGACCAACGCATCGGTTACATCGAGGCCCCCATGATTATCGACAGTGTAGTCGTATTTCATGGGAACTGAAGTTGTCGTGAGGGAGATCAGATTTGGGTCTTCTTTGCCCTCATGCCGAACACGTTTACTATAAACGGCCATGAATTACGTGTAAAAAATAATAATGATAAAAAGAACTCGGTTTCTCTCAAGGAACAGATATTCCATATTTTATAGATTTCCTTTGTCGCATCAACTCATTATTTGGTTTTTCCAGAATTGCCTTTGTGATTTCTCCCTTTGTCCCGCACAATACGCATATGTTTCCATCAATAATAATAATCACGTGAATATTTATCGTTTTTGATTGATACATAATATCTGAACAATTTGAAATATCCTTGACAATGTGAATCGCATTAAGATTCAGGTACACGTACATGTGATCGGCTGTCTGAGAATGCAAAATTAGGTTTTAGAAAATAGAGTTTGAGTCAGAAAAAAAAACAAAAACAATACGTTAATCTTAATTGATTGCGTATTGTGGGAGTCGAATTTATTGAGAAGGAAAATTGTGAAGTTGTTAGATGTCGGCAAACGAATGATTTCATGAAAAATACTATCATCACCTGACCTCAACCCCGATTCAATAAACAAATAAACATGTAAGTAAAAAAAATAAAAAAAATTTAAGGTGTCCGGCAAGCCAGATTTGAACTAGCGACCTAGAGATATCAACAACAAGCTTATTAGGCTCACTACAGTCTCCCGCTCTACCAACTGAGCTATTGCCGGCTGATGATGATCTTCTTTGTTTTTAAAATTTATATGCGTGCCAACAGAATGTCAAGAAAAAAAAAATAGTTGGACACTTGCTGCGCATACGTCACAAGTTTGAGTCTCACTACTACTACTGCACCATGTACATAATCAATGCGTTATATAATAATAATACATGCGTCATATTAGATCCGAATGATGACCTATTGTACATAATACTGTATGTGCAGTATGTATGCGCGCGAAGAACTCACGAAACACAAATCTTGTGCGAGCATATTGAATCTAGCGTACCACCCTAACACAGGACAAAAAAATAAAAAAGCAATTACGCTCATGACGTTTATTTTCCCTTCCGGTAAGGAGATATAGAAAGCCCATGAGAGATGATGATGCATTTTATTTTGATAAAAAAAAATAAAAAATAAATTTTTTTCATTGCCCGATTAAAAAAAAATGAAATTAAATGAAAGTTTTTTTTCCTTTGAATAAAAACAAAATTATAATGCTGTTAAAAAATCGATCTGTTGGTAACTACAAATATTAATATCGTAAATGCTATGAACTCGGTTAAATATTTGGGAATCAAGGAATTGCCCGATGACGTCAGCTTGGCCGTATCAGTTTCACTCCCTGCCTTACATGGGGAGGCAGGTAGACTCACATCCTCGAGGTAGGGTTTTTTGTCGCCAAGACAGTTTGATAATTGTTTCACATTAAAGCCTGCGCCAACCACGATATCCAAGGCCGCCGGGATTTTCGATGAAGAGGTGTTGAACAGGTCATGCTCTAAGGATACGTAGCCGTTCTTCGAATAAGAAGTGTTATGAACCCACTGGGAGAAGTTACCCGTGATCCAATTCAAGTCAAAGGTGGGATCCGCGTTTGATTTCCAGTCAAACGTGTCGTGATTCCAGAGTGCAATTCTGTAGCCGAGCTGCGTCAATATCCCGCGCACTCTATCGTCGATGTCACCCGCCGGTGGTCTCATCCATGTTGGCGTAAGGCCGGTTACATTCTTTATTATTTTTTCCGTCCATTTGATTTCAGCGATGATTTGTTCGTTGGATTGAGTTGTGAGCATGGTGTGTGACCACGTATGCACTCCAATCTGGTGTCCTGTTTGTTAATCATGGCATCATTAGGCAACCCTGTGATCAAGCAGCACAATGCTGACAAAAGAAGACTTACCGGCCGCCACTGTTTTTTTAAGAACATCAGCATGTTGAAGAACTCTGGAGCCTATAACGAAAAATGTCGCTTTAACGCCTTTCGAATCCAGCGCGGAGAGAACGTTTTCTGTGTTTGGCCTAAAATTCAGGGAAACGAGTGAATTCGAGAGATATGAAATGTTGAGGATGGAATGCATGTGTTCATAGGAAACTTACCCAGGGCCATCGTCGTATGTCAAAGCCCAATCTGCATGAAGAGATATTGTATCATGTTAACTTCAAATGTTTATAACTACTCATCCATTCTTCAAGATAGATACCTGTCTTGTTGGGGCAATAGGTGAAATCGGTCTTCGGTCGAGTGCAGATGTAACAAGTCCACGTACAATACGGATCCTTGGGATCACAGGGTGCGGAAATGTTTCTGACAGGAATTTTTGGTATTTTTGTTTTATCCACCAACGCCGTCCAAGAAGCAACTGGAGGCGGCGGCAAGTCGGGAGGCGGCCAATTTCCTGGTACCGTATCAGCATGAATAACTGGGATTAGAGTCATGATTGTTGCCAGTATTATGACTAACGTTAATTTTACAGGTTTTATATACATTTCTCTTCTTTTCTTTAAAAGATGATTATGTTGAAGTTCGTTTCTCTCAGAGTTGTTATTACAAAAGAAGAAAAAATTTTTTTTTGTTTTTTATTGAGATTGATACAGGTCGACTGAATTTAAGAGAAAAGGGGAGTTCGATTATTCTATTAACACCAAATACACTCTAGGGGCGAAAAAAAAACCGTTTTTATATAATTCTAAGAAAACAAAAGCGTGATGGAAAAGTGCAGAATGAGAAAAAAACCTGGCAGTAGTTTTTATAGCCTATTCCCTGTTATTATTGCTATTAATTTGTTTTTTTTTTCTTTTTATGTAAAGAAGTCCTGGTCAACAGAACCCTATATATTTTGGTGAATTAGGCGAATTACAAGTTTATCCAAAGTGGGCGAACGCATGTAGATACGGGATTTCGATGGTTAGCGTTGTGCGATGGAAGGGAAGTAGGAAATGAAGAAGAATCGACAAAAAAAAAAAAGTTTTTTGTTGACCTTTGGACAGGTAAACGAAGGATAGACCAATTAGGCGGTAGAGAAGCATGCCCATTTATACATTCTTTGCCATGTTGATTTTGATATTAATTTGCATACCGATTCAATAAATTCTGATACGATAACAGGACTCATGATCCCCATGATAATTACACGATACTATATTAACTAAACATAAATATTACGCATGTATTAAGTAAAACTCGTGAATGTAGGTCGTTCGATCTGAGACAGGGACCAATTTGTATGATTAATTACGTATATACCTTAAACATATCACATCACGTGCGGAATCAAAAGTTGATTGGTTATCAGAATGATAGAAGTGATGACACACTGTCTCTCGGAATTCCATTCGTCGTCAGCACCTCGCTCATCCGGATGTGATATGATATGATCCATGATTTATCGATCGTTTTCTTAAGGCTGCATCAAATTATCTGCATATGCCTGATTCAAAACGTTGACATGCATTGGTGCAAATGTGATAAAATTTGAAAGTGATTTAAATCAGCTATTAAATTCACCAGCAATTGTCAACTGAATCCATCCGCATGTTTTTTACACACCAAAGGGAACGGTCAACTGTTGAGGTATGTAAAAGACGAATCTAGTGATGATGCGACCTCTTCGATCGAAGGAACGTTGGTATTTGGAAAGTGACAATTTAGTGATGTGATGTTTTCGGACAGATGAACTAGAATTTTTTTGCTGGATAACGGTAATGAATACGTAATAACGATGATGATAAACCGTAAATAATTAAACAATCCAATTTTAAGGGAAGTCGCTAACCACAAAGTAACTCTGGTGTACGTACTGTATATAGCATAAGCTTGTTAGCGATTTATTACTCGTTGGCACGGTTTTGGTGCATTTATTCGTAAATAATATTTCATGCACCACTTAAGACACAATACTTACTTAACCCTTAGTATGTCATTTTTTTTTTTTGTCCATGCAAAAACAAATCTAGTGCTGGCGCTATTCCATCCGCTATGGCCACGAGCTAATTCTTTTCGGGGATAATTAAATGATATCCAAATATGGGAAAGAAAATGTAGGGCAAAATTTCTGGCCAAACTTTTTTTGGGTCATTGTTATACAATGTATATATGTACAAACGAAACCAAAGCCATTCTGGAAGAGTGATGTTAGGGCACATGATGATATGAACGTAAACACATTTGAACTTCTTGACCTTCAATATTTAAGCATAAAGATGCAATCAAAAGCTTCAAAATGAAGAATGGAAACGGGAACGAAGATTATCGGAACAAATGAGAAGGCTAACAAATTAAATGGTAATATCGTAATGGTAATAAATGCCAAACAAAATATACCAAGGATCTTCCAATTACTTCACGCTTTCCTTACCAGTTACTTTTGACGAATAAATTTATTCATGGCGAATCTAGGATGTTGATAGCATCTTGACCTTAATTTTAGAAATAACTCGACGGTTTATTTATTTATTTATTATATGAAGTGTGATAGCATATTGACAAGAAAATCCTATTAGTATTTACCGTGTTATTTTTGGTATTATAGATACATTTAAGCGAACGCCATGAAAGGTGAAGAGATTAGACAATGGATAGAAACGTGTAAAGAAGGATATTGAGTTTTCTCGACATGCACATCTTCGGATTCGAAGAATTTGGTTCTACGATCGAACTAATCACGGTTTGATTTGCGCGGGGTAAAGTATCCTTCTTCGCCTTGTGAGGCAGTAATATTGGTGATGAAAATGGTGTCCGTGCTGTACGATGCAATTGATGTGATGATAATAAAATGATCGAAAAATTTCAAGAATTTTCCACCAGAGAATGAATGTATCACCGCATGCTTAATGCATGAGATTTGCGGTTTCGGGAATATTGTCTACGATCAATGCAAAGACGATGATTCGTGAAATGATTTTATCCCTGGTTTCTTTGGTTCCTTTCCTAGTTAACTTTGTCGTTCCCGTCTATTACTTTTCGTTCTCAACAATCTCCTATTGGCTTTCTAAAATTACTTTTTCTCATATAAAAAAAAAAATTCTTTTACTTCATTTATTCTCTTTCTCCTCTTACCCTAATATTACCTCACACACGGGACGTTAATCTCCTTAAATCTGACGTTCATTTCCATTTCCATTTCCATTTTGATTTTGATTTCCCTAGTCTCCTAGCACGTTATCTGATCCGATCCGTAATTAATAAATTAAATGTCATGGATTATTTAAAAGAAAACGCAAAAGGAACATGTGCATGATATTTACGTATCAAAGTGACTTGAGGGAACCATTGCCGTTTCCATTCATTATTATCACACCGATATTCGTAACCTGACGTAATTTTTGCTTAAAGAAATTATTATCTTTATGTGCAATTTCCAAGATATTCTTACATCATATTGTTTTTTTAAGAACGTCTTGTAAAAATATTTGCGTTTTATTGAATCATATCATTGTCTTATTGTTAGGCAGAACGAAAATAAGAATCTCCGAACAAACTGTATATTATACTCAAAATTGGTATGGATTTTTTTTTTTAAATCATTCTTAAATTATCGGGAACGGAACCACCACGTTAATTCATTAAAAACGCAGAATGTATTAAATAATGTTTCGCTATACTAAAAAAAATTTTTTTAATGTTCCACCTTCAATTGGAGATTACTTTTTTAATACCAGTTTCCTGATCGAATTAAAATCAATTTGGTCAGATGTAATGTAAGTCGTTATTTATTAATTTCAGGAGGATATGCTATTGCGATTCCGGATGAACCATAATTTATCATGTGTTAACATGTTAAAATTGTTAAAATTCAATATTGTGTGAATTAAAATTTTCCTGATTTACGTCATTACCATCTCCACACACGTAAATATACTGTATACTGTAGTATCTACAGGACATATTTTTTTCATATAAGAAAATCAATGGATTCAATATTATTCACGAGTTATGAAAAATATATAAAAAATAATACCGTAGCAATGATAATAACAATTATTATCACCACTACTGTACTACCATACTTCTTGCTGTTGGATTTTTTTGTCTATAATTTACTTCTTACGATCACTTAATCTCAGTTTATCCAATTAAATATGTAAAATTAAATATGTTCATACATCCCAAACTTTAAATTTGTAGTTTGCAATATATGGATAGATGCGATTTACATGCTAAAACATTTTATTTTTAAATAGCACACGAAACACACAATTTGTTTAAGAATTAACGAAACTCGGATTTTTTTAAAATATACCAAATATTATAAAAAATTTAATTTGTATTTTCGAATTATTTTATAATGAGCTTTGATAAAAAATTTTGACTTTTCTTTGTTAATCGATCGATATGTAAAGTGGTTAAAAAATAAAATATACATTAAACATTAATAACAGTATTTTTAAAATTATTGTTTTGAAATTTAAAATTATAATTAAAATTGATTGTTTTGTTCAAATAGATTTTTATCCATTAAATATTTACTACAATTAAAAAATAAATATATTAAATCCTTGTCATGGCATTGAAAACAAATCTATATAAATAATTTTAATCTATTCAAACTTTTATAATCATCAATCAAATTCTAAAAAAAAGGAGAGATCTTCTTAATAAGTGTTTCTCTACATGATAATAACCTTCTCTCAATTAATATTATGGAACTATACAAGATCTTTCTTTTCAACAAACTTCTTGAATCCCTAATCATCAAAAAAACACTTCTAGAACTGGTATTTGTTCTTACTTCCTTCCTTTATTAAAATATTCATGGCTACAAACAATTATTCCAACATTACTACTATTTACAACTTTAACTTTTTCATAACAATTCATTTAAACTTATCTATTTCATACTATACTACAACTTACTATTCTATTGTCAATCCTTCAATTAACTAAAATCATTTTAATTTAAACAATATCAAAAATCTTATCACTTTTACTATTATTAATATAATAGGTTTCGATAACCCTTTCAAATTAAGAATTCTTACAAATACTATAGACAAAAAATTAATTACTTTATATACAAAAATCAAACCCAAGAAAAAAAACCATTATTCTAAAAACATTAATAACAAAAGTTTAACATTATAAAAAATTTTTCAATATAATACTCTATTAATTATTAAAAAAGATTTGATTCTTATACAATCAGAAACAAAAAAAACCTTTTTTAATATTTTTATTATAACTTTATAAAAAATTATTTTAATAATATAAAAATTTTAATATATATTTTTTAAAACTTAAAGAATAAGTTTACTTGTAGATTTTTTATAAAATATATTATTTAAAAAATTAAAAAATTAATTATTTTTTAATATAAATTTAATATAGATGAAAATTGTAAATTTTAAATAAAAAAAATAATTTAAATATTATTATTATTTTTTTTTTTTTTTTTTTTTTTTTTTTTTTACTGCAAACAAGCATAAAATGCGAGACTTTA